TAACTGGTAGCCATGAGTTAATTTGGATAAAGCTTTGTAGAATCAGAAGTGAAACAATGCAGAATGTATACACTGCTTAAACATTTTAATACATGATAGTGCTACACTCTGTCATGCATCACTTTGAAAGGCTTCATAGTGGTCTTATTTTCCTTTTAATAACATGGTCCAGTAGATAAAGCACTGAACAGGGAGTCAGAGGAACCAGAGATAATGTCTTTCTGTATCACTTACCTGCAGTATTCCCATGAGTATCTCTTTTTTGCTTCAGGTCCCTCTGTGAAATTAGAATAACGGTACTAATCTTCTGTAACAAGTTTGTGCCAAAGAGATTTTTTTTTCTCAGCTGCAACCTTAACGTAACTTCCTGAGGAAACTCCTAAACCTGGCTTCAGCCCAACATCTACATACCAGGGAGCCCCACAGTCTTTCTTAGCCCAGAGCCTGCCCTGAAAACCATAGCCTCTTGACTTAACCCCATACCCTCCATGCCTTTTAGAGGGTTTAACCCTTCAGAGAAAAGCAGTGCTTATTAACAGTTAGTTAGGTAAAATTTCAAAAGCAAACTTATTAAGTGGTCAGTTGAGGAGACACAAAGTTCCCAAGTCGAAATGCTGTCTTAGTACTGCCATTGTCAGTGACAGAGCAGAACGACTGACCATTTTATTTTTTGAAATCCGTAAGTGTTTGCAAGCCACTTTGGTTTGTTGTCAGTATGCCCTTATTTCTCTGTGTCCCTTCTCTTTTTCACATGATTTCTTTGATCATAATCAGGTGTCTGGTGGATTTTGCTTTTCATTGTCTTAGCTATGGTAATTGCCTTAGATAATTGCACTATTTTTTTTTTGTATGACTCTTTCAGATAGGTATGATTGTCCTGACTCACCTTACTAAAGGGTGTTGGCTCACTCCTCTGCTTGTAAAGAAGTGAAGAACTGAGGCTTGCAGAGGGAAAGTAAGAGGGTTCCAAAATAGTCGTGTGTTATTCATATCTTCCTTTGCGAAGAATAGCTCAAAAAACTTGGGGGAAATCTATTAAATCGTACTTTCAGAAAAGCATGATGTTGGATAGCAATAAACACAGATACTCGTATTTTTAAATGGTCATTTCTTACCTAACAATACCTTCAGGAATGAAAAAAATGCAACTGATACCCAGGTTGAGCATTAAATTACTTGAGAATCCTTTTTGGAAATCTTTAACTTATTACTTGAATATTTTTTTAGCTTTTAAGTGATTAACAATACTTTGTATGTGTTTCATTTAGTGTATGTTCTATAGATGTCAGTAAAAAGCAATTTCAAAGGAAACATCATGTGGCAATGTATTTTACACTATATAAATATATGGGCAGAGGTCTACAACACGTTATGAAAACGCAGTTGGATCTTCAGAGGAGTAATGAGGGCCTGAAGTACTGTATAATTATTTCCATTTGAAAAATTTTAGATTTGGTGATTGACAGCAAAATCAATAGTTTTTGTAGGAGAAATTGCCTAATATAACTTCTTAAAGCAGAATTTTGTATAATTTCTTCTCTTAAAGGCTGCTTTTTCTTTCTTGTGTGATTATCTTTCCTTATAATTTCCCTGATACTTCTGAAAACCATTGCATCTGTGGTTACATAATGACAATGATATATGTGTAATATTTTCAATCTGTTTGTAAGATTAATTTCATTTTGGAAGTAAAAAGTTCATGGCTAATCTGGCAGCAGAGACTTCATAAATGGCCCATAAAAAGGCTTGATGGGATCTGCTCTCAGGTTTCAAGGATGCATCTGAGAAATTTTTTCATTGACCATCTTTTATAAAAAGGAAAATTATCAGAGAAAGAAAATGCTAGACTTAAAGCCTGGTTTTTAGTAACTTGCATTTTGTCTTTATTTTAATGTGATTGATCAGTATTGTGAAGTGGCATGCTGATGTATGGGAAGTGTTGCTTTGGGGAGGAAAACTTTGGATCTTTCTAAACTGCTCCATCCTCTCCCCAAAAACGTATGCACGCACATACACTCAGAGGTTTTTGTTCATACATTTGTTGTTACCCTGTTGTCTTGGCAGAATATAGTGGATCTAGATGTCAGTGATATGTGCATTATATCCTTTATATGCAACTTCAGATAAAACAGATAAAAAGCAAAGATGCTTTTCTGGCCAAAAAGAAAGAATCCTCTAAACATTCTGCAAAACAGAAATTCCTAGTGCTGATGTGGTCCTGTGATGAGAGAGAATTATTTGTCTTAATTGTGAAAATGACAGTAAAGATAGAATCAAACAAGTTTGTTACCCTTCTCTACTGGGCTTTTCAGATAAATACAGAAGGGATTATTTGGGTGCTTCGTGTGTTTGACCTCTTAAGAACTGCTGAAATTTGTTACAGAAATCTTTTTGAATCCTTTGGGAGTGAGCTTTGTACTACTGCAGGCTCTTATGTTTTCTTTTTACTTTCGTATTGGATTTTCTTTCCTCTAATGCCCTTGATCCAGAAAATATTGGTTTCTGGAAGAGCTTTGTCTTTTTAGGTAGGTTGCTGATCTTCATGTGGAGAAAATATTAAAAAGCAAATTTTAAAATCTTACAGACATTTTCAAGGTTCTGTCTAAATTGATAATCCAAAGCTAAAATCAAGGTAGAAGTTGTAGTTGTGTCACAATTTGGTGTGTAATCTCTAGCTTTTCAGTGTTGCTTTCCTAATGGCTTAATTTTAACAATTATGAAAAGCCCTCAAAAATATGGGCCTGAGGTACTAAGCAGTAGACTTACTTGAAGTCCTATGTGCTCATTCAAGGAATGAAGACATTAAAGGACAAAACCTGATTTAAAGTGGATGGACGCTAAGAATTGGTGAACCATGCTTCTAAGAATACTGTCTAGGCCCAGTTTCTTGTGCAGAGACTGGTTAATTGGAATCACAGGACAGTAATGTATTGCTGAGCACCAAGCACCTTCATCAGCTTTAAACATGTGCTTTGGCATGTGTTTCAGATATAAAGCAATTAACCAGAAACTTTACAACTACTAAGCAATATTTTCCAGCTCCAAACAAAATTGCCAAATTGGTTGAATGTAATGGCAGCAGCATGTGCTATGTTTAAATACTGGAAAGTGCTGTTGAACTAGTGGAAGTGACTGCATAGGAAAACATTTTTAATGCAGAAAAGAGATAACTCTTAGGAGATCTGTAGTTAATTAATATTTGGCCTAAAACAGGAAGGTAGAAAAGTGGGGATAGACAATTCATACTCAAATTTTATTTTGGCTTGAAAGACAAGTATCATAGAATCATAGAATGGTTTGGGTTGGAAGGGACCTTAAAGATCATCTAGTCCCAACCCCCCTGCCATGGGCAGGGACACCCTCCACTAGACCAGGTTGCTCAAAGCCTCATCGAGCCTGGTCTTGAACACCTCCAGGGATGGGGCATCCACAACTTCTCTGGGCAACTTGTTCCAGTGTCTCACCACCCTCACATTAAAAAACTGAAAGCCGTTAGCCCTCATCCTGTCACTTATCACAGGATTGCTACTTATAAATTGTGGTGCTGTCCACTGCATTATTTCCATACAAAAATTTGTGTGTGATGTTTATAATAGGAGTGCCAATTTGCTTGCCTAGGTCTACTTGTCTGCTAAAATAAGCAGATCTCATGTTACGCTCTCTACTTAAGTACTTCTTATTTTACCAAAGTATAGCCTAAGCTACAGCCTTCCTTATCCAGCAACACTTAATAAAGGGAGAAAAAACATGTCTGCAAAGTTACTTCTTAGTAGTTCTTTACAGTTTCCAAAACATTATATAGTTTTGCTAATGATGGATCGACCTAAAGATGTCCTCACTTTTTTTATTAATTCCAACATATTACCAAGCACTTAGGAAACTGCTGATTTAAAATGTATGCAATATAAGAGGCCTCATGTTCTGCTTTCATGAAGCAATGGTGATATCACTAAATTTTTAAACCTGGGCCTACATACTTTCAGTTCAAGTGAATAAAAACTTCTGTTTAAAAAAATAAGCTAAAAATAATAGTTTAAGAGTTGATAAGGCTTTGAAGTTTATGATACTTTTAAAGCATGTGAATGGTAACTTTCACTGGAAGAAATGTGTGATCAAACTATTCTGGTTTGATAATTTATAAGCACTAATTTTACTAAGCTACCTTACTTTATACCATTAACTTTTTGTAGTGCAGTAACAGATTAATGTAATGTCTAATGTTTGTGAGACATGAATGTACATAGGTATGACAAATATGATTATGTCTACTGACTAGTGACTGTCATCATCTAATACATTTACCGTTTAAGTAAAATATAGTCCCAAAAGTGGTGTGTTTTAAAGGCATGTACTGTTCAGGGAAAACAGTGCAAATATTGTCTCCAATTTTGGGGTGGTAAAAAGCTGTTTTGATTTAGTGAGTGTCTGCATGTTTGTGGAGATGTGCTCTTAACTTCTGGATTTGGTGATAGTTATTTTACTGTACTCTGAACATTTTTGTAGTTTTACAGAATGTTAGGAGCTTAAAAAGAGAACTAATTTGTTGCTGCAGGTTACAAAATGTGGATCAAACAAAGCTGAGTGGATTTCTAGGCTTCAGATCTGGTTGCTTTTTCATATTGACAAAGCCTTAGATCTTCAGTAACAGGTAGTAATTTGTAAATCTACCTTTCTCCAAGGTAGTTATTCATTAATAAGAAAAGTGGAACCAAATTAAAACTGTGACATGATATGCACTGTGTTAGAGTTGTGTTTTCTTTACTCCTGTTTATAGCTTAAAGATGAAGCTGTCAGACAGCAGACTAATGTTCCTGAAGCATATTATCCAGCTGTTGTGATGACTGTTCTGTATCTGAGACAGTTTACTTTGAATAATATCTTCAGTTAATTCAAGTATAGTCAAGTGTGATCTGGAGTCCTGAAATGGCTATTTTATGTGTTGTGAGAAGTGATAATTAGAAATTTTTTTTAAGAAAAGGAAGAGAGAGTAGTGCATTGTGTTAATTCATAAAATTTTAATGTTGCATTCAGTTGGACAATTGATCGTTTGAAATAAATTTCCTATAACAATTCTCTAAAAACATACAGTATTATTCTACTAGGTCTGAACCAATCTTTTCCACCTTCTCACTCCCTCCTCAATTTCTGTTGCAAAATTGAAGTTGTGTGACCTGCTAATGACAAATCAGATCAGTGCCCCATTAAAATAGCCTGAAGGAGAGAGTGTCAGGACAGTGTAAAGTGGGACGTTGTTACATATGAGCAAATAGGAAACCTGAGAAAGAAGAGTGAACATACTCAGAGGAATAGAGACCATTAGATTCTGAATTGGGCAGTTGGAGCCATACTTGATCGTTCTCCATGAGATCGATGACAGCACTACCAGAAGCCTGGTCAAGGTAACCTTTCTGGTACTCATCATAAGTGTACATAAGTGGGGAACCATTTTTGTAGAGTGCAACCCAAACATTTGTTCCTTTTGCATGTATGTGATAGGAGAAGTAGTACAGTCCAGGGATCCTGCAGGTGAAGATTCCTGTTCTGGGGTCATAGTGTTGCTGTCTGTTGAACAAGATTTTATCAAATTTGATGGGGACTGTTGCCCCAGGGTAGGCTTTTGAGAGGATAACACTGAAAGCAGATACTGGCATCCCTGTAAGAGCTTGGTTTACTCCTTTCATATAAGACATTCCTGATAGCTCCCGAGACTCTCCTGCTTTAACGTAGCCTTCGGGCATCTGTGGGATTGCGGCTTGGCCGGGGGGACCAGGAGGACCTGGGGGGCCTGGCAATCCAGGCTCTCCATTGTTGCCTTTAGGTCCAGGGGGTCCAGGTGGTCCCATGGGTCCAGTTAAGCCTTTTGTAGAAATACCTGCTGGGCCTGGCAGTCCTGGTGCTCCTGGCTCACCTTTTGCACCAGGGGCTCCTGGCAGGCCAGGTGGGCCGATGGGGCCTCTGATCCCAGGTATTCCTGAAGGCCCTCTGGGGCCTGGCTCACCATTGATCCCTGGCACTCCCTTAACTCCTTGTGGACCCATCGGACCGGGCAAGCCAGGTAGCCCAGCGTGGCCAATGTCACCTTTTGGACCTGGGTGACCTGGATGTCCTTTAGGACCAGCAAGACCCTGCTCACCTGGGTATCCTGGTTTTCCCTCTAATCCCGGTAGACCTCGTTCACCCTTGGCTCCTGGGAATCCTGGGAGGCCTGCAGGGCCCATGTCACCTTTGGGTCCAGGTAAGCCATTCTCACCAGGCAAGCCTTTGAGTCCTTGAGGGCCCATGTTCCCCGGTGGCCCAGCAGGCCCTGGTTCTCCTGGAATGCCAGCTGGGCCTTGGTCTCCTTTAGGTCCTGGAAGGCCAGGAGGACCTTCAGGTCCTCTGTGTCCCTTCATCCCTGGCAATCCTGGCTTTCCGAATCCTGGAAGACCTGGGGATCCAGGCAAG